CCAAGAAACTGGACGAAGTGGAGTCTCTGCGAGAGGGCTTGGAGTGAGTGTGGACCTGCTGACACCTTGATGTTGGACTGCTAGTCTCCAGAACTATGAGACAAGGCAGTCTGTAGTGTTAAGCCACCCAGTTTGCTGTACTGTGTTACAGTAGCCCTAGGAAACCAGTACTCCTTGTCTCTGCTTGCTCCTCCAGTCTGTCCTTCCCCAAGTTACTTTCCTGCTTCAAACCTGCCCATGGTTCCTCGGTGACCATGGACAGCACAAGGTGTGCTGATGGCATCTCTCATCCAACAGTTCCTACTGAAGTAATGGCTCCTGCCTGCTTCTCTTCGGCTCTTCCCCATCTCAGCCACTTGGCCCACTGGATGACCCGAGTCATCTCGAGTCTTCTCCCTCAGGCCCACATTCTCTCCAGTGTCAAGCTCTTTCTGCTCTTCTTCCAAAATGCAACAGGGTCACCTACTTAAGCCTCCAATTTCTCTTTCTCTTGTTAATTGCAAAAGTGGCCACAGTCCCCTACCCTCCCTGTATCCAGGTCCTCTGCAACATGGCTTTGCAGCTCCTTCCTTCCACAGTACAGTGCATGTCTCCACCCTTGAATTCGAGCCGGCCGTGGGCCTTGTATTGTCTACTACAGAATAGAATGAGCTGCATGTGATGTTATACCAGTTCTGAACTCAGGCCTTGTACACTACCAGTATCCTGAGCAGAAGCCCAGCCTCACCTGATAGACGATGATGTGCCTGGAGCAAGAGACCTGCTGTCTTCCCAGGCCAGGCCATCCTAAACAAACCAGACTCTAGCTAACCAGATACAAGGCCAGCCTAGGCCCACTGAGCCTGTCCAAGATCAGCAGAGCTACTCAGTTGACATCCAGACACATGAAAAACCATGTTGCCTATAACTGTGTTTTGGGACAATTTGTTACACAGCTATAGCTGTTTTGACTCCTTAGCTAATTACCAGATGCTTCTTCCCTCCTCACAACATTTTCTTTGAGAAGCCAGAGTGGTCTTTTCTCTACTTTTTACCATCCAGTGTGGTTTCTTTTTGCAATTAGAACGAAACTCAGACTCTAAAACATAGTCTACAAGGCCTGGCCACCTCCCCTGACCTTCTCATTTCCCACTGCTTCAGCCACACGAGCTTTTTTATAGTCCCACCAGTAGCCTCTGTTTTTCCTTTCAGTCTGTGGGAGCAGACTTTTCTAGACCAACCCATGGCTGCCTCTTCCTCCTCTTTCAAAAATTAACCCAAATTTTTCCCTTCAAGAGCCCTGCCCTGATCACCCTAGCTAAAGGAACCCTTCCCACCACCGTGCCCAGTAATGTTCTGTCATTATGCCCTGTCTTTATTTTCTTATTACTTTCTGAAATCTCTGTTAAGGTGCACATTATATATCTACTGTCAGCACTCTGTTCCTGGGACAAAATATCTGACATTCACACCTTAAAGAGAGGTTTATTTTGGCTCGTGGTTTCAGAGGTTACAGTCCATGGAGGGCTGGCTCCAAGGCAAAATGTTGTGGTAGAGGAAAGGTGTTCAATTCATGGCATCCAAGAAACAGAGAGACAGGGGAAGAGCTAGAGAAGAGATGTACCATTCAAAGGCACACCCCAGTGACCCACCTCTTCCAATCAGTCCATACCTCCTAGTGGCACATTCAGCTATGAACTCAGTAGATTAACCATCGATGAGGTTAATGCCCCATGATCTAGTCACCTTCCCAAAGTCTCTCCTCTGAATCCATGAGACTTCTGGGCTTTTGATCCAAACCATGTTATTTCCCAACTTGAATAAAAGCTCTGTGAAAGCAAGAATGTGTTTTTTATCCTTTGCTATATCCTTAGACATTATAACAATTCCAGGTACATAGTAGGCACTCACTAAATATTTGAGAAATAAATGAAAACTCCAAAGAAAATGCGCATTTGTAGCTCAGCTGACAAACCCTTGTGCACAACATCTCTTGAACTGTTCTCCCTGCTGACTGTCCATTCTGTCCAGACTGAACTGCTGCAGGTCCTGAGTATGCTGCCCTGACCCTGGTCTCGGAGCTTTGCACATTGTTCCCTCTGCCTACCCTTCCTCTCACACACAGATCCTAGGAATTCCTATGGACCATAGAAGTTCTTCATTAGCAGCCTACCCCACCATCCCCAGCTTAGAGTTAGGGTCCCCAGACCCTGGCTCTCTTATGGTGGCTGATCATCACTGTGCTCATCATGCTGGGCTGTGATTAACTGGTTTCTCCTCTGTGGGATAGGAGGGTGGAGTTCTGGGATCATGGATATCATCCTGCTGCTTATTGTCCTAAACACCAAATGAGGAGAAATAAGACTGGGATGCTGGGCCCTGGCTTTTCTGTGACATTGGAGGGGCTGAGTGTCCCTCTCTCTGAACACCTTGCATGTAGGCCTCGCAGTGCATTGTGGAGGAATGAAATTGTTGTATGACTCCAGCTCTGCAGGAAAGAACCAGGGGTCTAAGCAGACCACAAGAGGAATACAAGAAGTCTGTCATTCAGTACTATTGATGGAAGGAAAGAAAATGAGTGGATAAATAAAGTTTGCATTACCTTGAAGTCAGTCCTCATGAAAGAAAGGAGCTGCTGGCCTCATGCCTTACTAGAGAAATGGGCTGGGTCTCTTTTTGGTCATTCATTTTAAAGAGAGATGTGATAATGATCCTGAAGTCATAATCAACTGAATTGTATGACAAAAATTGTGTGAAAAGCAAGCCTATAGATAAATGGGCTAAATGGCCATTGTCACATTACATTGCTATGGTTAGTGTATCTGGCACGTAACTTTTCAGGGTCATTTAATCTTTTTGTTTCTCATCACTGTCCTTCATGAACATACATATTTACTAGACAATGAAAGCTGACTTCTCCCATTCCACAGTGGCTTGAATGGGAGAAAATATATTCCCACTGCAGCAAGAGAGAGGCAGATGAGACTTCCTGTCAGTGACAACAGGCTCCCTCAAGCCCTGGACCTGCAGTGCGGACGTGAATAGTTTTGAGGGTGATTTCAGCTTTTGCTTTCTGATGAGGTAACACTGAAAAGTGCCTGGCATTTGGTCATTGCTGTGGTTTGGTGTGGCTTGAATGTGTTCCTCAAGGGCTTATCATGTGCTGCAGGTGTGGTCCCCAGTGGGAGACCTATGGGAGAGGCTATGGGAGAGGCAATGGGCTCCTTAAGAGGTGAGGCCTCGTGAGAAGTCCTGGGTGCTTCTCTCTCAAGTTCCTATGAGTCTTGGTTATTTCTCCAGAGAATATTGTCATAAAAGAGCGAGACTAGCTGTCCTCACTCTCTGGTTTTCCATCTCCCTCCCATATGCCTGTCAGGGGCATGTTGCCATGGTGTGATGCAGTCAGGCTCTCGCAAGAGTCTGTACCATGCAGCCTGGACTTTTAGCCTCCAAAATGATGACCTAAATAAACCTCTTTTCTTTACAAGTTACCTAGTCTCAGCTATTTTGTTATAGCAAAAGGAAAACAGACTAATATAGCGATGCTCAGAAAATGCGTTTTTCCTTTTTGAAGAGCTGGTTCTCCCAAAGGGACAGGAAGTTACTGGAGGGAAGGATTGTCACTTAATCTTTGCAGCTGGGTTACAAAGATTCTGGTGTGGGCCTCACATGGTTCTCTCCCAACATAGCAGGACCCCATGTGCTCTGGGTCCTGCTCTCATGGCCTACTGTCTCCTCCAAGAACCCTCTCTCTCCTTAATGGTACCTATGCCTCCAGAGTGGGCAGGAGTGGCTGGAGTAGGTATGGGGCCTGGAAGCCCCCATGGCCTCTCTCTAGCCCCAAGATGATGACTCCCAGTGGAGGTGACTCCCTTCTGAAGGGCACTTTAGGGCCTGGGCAAGGGGTCTGGACATTACAAAGGCACAAAGAAGGATAGTCTCTACCATGTTGCTGTCTGAGTCAGGGGTAGAGCCAGGATACCTGGGCCTGGCTGGAGCACAGGCTGCACTGTAGGGTTTCCTATAGGAGTCTTGTTCCCTGGGGCTGTGCCACAGCTCCTAGGGAGTTGGGGGCCAAAAGATTTTGGGGTTTACCATGGGAGGGTGTGGCTTTGTAGCACCTGCTTTTCCATAGGGCTTTTTCCACATGGGCACACCCAGTTCTGAGGCTCTTGACTGGGAAATCAGTGGCTGGGAAGTCAGTCCCTTACCTGCCTAGGGGCTGTGGGAGAAGCCTGTGTTTTTATTACACTCTTACATATTAGTGACTATGATTTCTGTGCCACCTACAAGCTGTTTGCCCTTCACAGGTGTCTCTGCTCAGCAGGTGCTGCCATTAGTATCATTTTACAGATAAAGGAACAAAGGTACAGTCAGGTAAAATAACTGCCTAACGTTACACAGGTAGTAAGTGGGGTGGTTGGGATTTAAACTTACTCAAAATGCTTATGGGGACTAGAAGAACTTGGCTTTGTAACCTTGGTTGGCAGGGGTGGTAAATGGGAAGGCTGTGTTTCTGCAAGATTTGCCAAGAATTTCTGTCATGCAAGCAGGCAAAGCAGGAGACTGAGGTGAAGACACCATTGTCACCCCGGCCCTGCCATTTCCTATCTGTGTGACTTTGGGGAAGAGCTTTGCCCTCTCTCCTTCTTCAAGTGAATGATGAGGTGCTGGACTTATTGATGCTGAGCCCCCTACTAGCTCTAAAAGCTCCGAGCCCCAGTGGGGACCCCATAGTTGTGAGCACCCAAAAGCTCCTTTCCTTGCTTCCATCTATGCTGACTGAGGCTCTCTTTGATCCCTCCTCCATGATGCACAAGAGGCCGTGTGTGTGTGTGTGTCCTTTAACCTTTTGTCTTCTTGAAGTCTCTCTGGGGACTATGAGTCTCCACTTCCCACTCCCTCTAAGATGTCCTTCCTGGAAGCCCTTCCTAAGGAGTCTTCTTTGATAGGGAGAAAACCAGCAGTTTTGGCATTGGACATGGGTGGCGAGGATAAAGCCTAGATCCACCACAGAGCAATCTGTGATGCTTTTCTGATTGCTACCATCTAAAAGAGATGTGCTAAGTCTCCAGGGCCAGTTGCACTATACCAGAAGATAGCATCTGGTGGCCCAGGTCTGACAGCAGAAGGAGCTGGAAGGTAGCCAGGGAGAGGAGCTGTTCAGGGCTCTGCTTCACGGTTTGCGGGGAACACTTTTTGAACATCTATCTCCGTTTCAGTCATGTGAGGGTGGATGTCCATGTTCAGACCCACATCCTTGCACAGCTTGAACAAGGTCCGGATGTTGTTCTTGGACAACCTCAGGTATCTGCAGGAGAAAGCCAAAGAGGTCAGTGAAGGTGAAATCACAATAACTCATTTTTTCCTCTGTGGCACTGGGGATTGAACTCAGGGCCTTTGGATTGATTTACCTCAGCAGCCCTTTTTAGTTTTTATTTTGAGATAGGATCTCACTAAATCACTAAGTCACCAAGGCTGGGCTTGAACATGTGATCTTTCTGCTTTTGCCTTGCAGAGTGCTGGTACTACAGGTTTTGCCGCCATGTCTGACTACTTTTATGTTGACTAGAGTATCCCTGCTGTTAGTGCTTGCTTAGTGCTTAAGCTGCAGTTAGCATGGGACCTTTATAGCCTGGCTCTAGACAAGTTCTGCAGACATTTATGGAGTCTGTATAAGCCAGAGGCCACCCGTAGGGTGAGATTTTACATTGGTATAGCTCTTTTGAAAATCAATTTGCCAAGAATGACTCCTGGCCCCCTTTCAAAGAAAGGGGACTCATTATCTCTGACTCAGAAAACCCACTCATGATCTCAATGTACCTCAAGAAGTCCACAGGAAGAAAAGTTGTGGAATAAAGGGTTCTCATTTGGGGATGGTCAACAACAGGAAAAGGGAATATTCCATCAACAGAGGAACAGTTAAGCAAAGAATGATCCATCCAATTTTGAGATCTTCTAATTAGAATGCCTTAAATCGGAAGGAAGGAAGAAAATGTCACATGGCTGTCACATTAAGCCACATGGGGAAAAAACTAGGATGCAAGTCATCTGTGGGATGTCATTGTCATGGACATGGAATCTGAGGGATGTGAGGGACCAGGGAAATACAGAGCTGTGGAAAGAATGGCCAAGCTGTTTGGAGAACAGAAGTAGATATATTTTGAATAATTTTAAAATAATTGAAAAGTTGGGCCATTAATTTAAAACATTTCCAAAGCCCATAATTCTGATGTTGATGGAAGGATGAGTTGATCTCATTTGTACTGTGTGATGCAGACAGTATCTCTGCCATTGTATCTGCTGTTGCAGCCAGAGCTCCTTACTCCACCCTCAGCCTTGACCTTGATCCCGGTTTTAATCATGAGCTGTAAGGAAAACTCTCTACTTAGGCCACCTGCTGGTTGGTTACTTTGCTGCAGCTGATGGGGGACATTAATGCTGCATATTGACGGAAGCTGCTTTTTTGCCCCTTGGTAATGGCCTTTTATCTTTTATCCTTTGAAACCTTCCCAGAACTTACTCCTGTTATGGCTAGCTTAAGCTCCCACACCAATCCCCATCTTGGACTACCTCTTCTTTGACATCCCCAGCACCATCCGCCTCCTTTCGCAGCCTGGCCTGGGAGGCTCCCACACGTTTGGACACATGGACACTCATTAAGTCCTATTCTGGACTATTCTATCCTTTCCAAAGATGGCATCTCTTTAAATATTCTTCTTCTACCTTGGAGGGCAGGAGCCCTATCCGAATCCCTTTTCCCCTACCATGGAGCCCGAGGAGGATGTCTATTGGCCAGAGTTAGTTAGAACCACTTGCTAATCTGAAAGCCAAGCCAGTCATTGCCTGCAAGGATAATCGGCAGGGAACTCTGCCTGTTCATCCTTCAGCCGTCCAGCTACTCTACTCAGCTCTTAATCAGTTGGTGAGCAGAGCAGACCTTTGCAATGGGGCTGTTTGGCTTTCAGACATTTAAGGCCATCTTAACCCACAGATGAGTTTATTGCTATCAACTCTACAAAGATGACTACATTATTTGGTTGTCTTATTTCTCCCTCTGCTAAAGCTTTTGAACTTTGTCATTTGCATCTTTACAGTAAAGAATCACACTGGGCTAGTGAGAGGGATCCTTGGATTTTTGTTTAGGGGGAACTAAGATGTGTGGTGTTGCTGAAAACCATTGAGTCCGAATAAGTAAGTCACCAAACAAGAGAAGAGACCCTTGGGAAGACAGTATATACCCAACAGTTTTACGCTTTGTGCACACCCCCCATGGGAGTCTAAAACCCCAAATGTACAGCAGAGAGTCACTGGAGATAGTGACTACTATCACCCGAAATTCAACATTGGCATAAAGGATCTTATGGGAATTTCTTGTTAAAACAAGACCACACCCAGCTCATCCTTTCCTGTTTGATTAATTCCCTTGGTTTCTATTGTGAAACAAATGGAAATATCGGAAGGGCTGTGTCAGTGTCCAGATGGGAAGCAGCATCCAAATGGCAGCACCTGACTTTCATGCCTATGTGGGAGAAGGTCCCGAGGTAGGGGATCCTGCTGGGAAACCCTGTGGCTTTAGCCTGGAGCAGGCCCTGGGGACCCAAGGCCAGAGTTCAGTTATGCTGAGCCTACCCTCCTATATCCCAGGGATAGCAGTGTTCAAAATCTGTTCTTTAAGCCCCCCACCCAGCCCACCCTGCCTGGTGCTCACCGGCAGCTCAGCACTTCCTCTGGCTTCAGCATTTTCACACTTTCTATCTTGGGTTCAGTGCCCTTCTCCATGAGGCTCTTTAACTTGCGTTCAAAAGCGATGTCGGAGGTCCTGGCTGGCCAGTCTTTCATCACGGTCATTCTTCGGCTGCCAAAGGTGCTATCCTGTGCCGAGGGATCCGCATATATGCTTTGGCGACGGAATGTGTTTGGTCGTGTAGTGGACTCTAGAGCCATTGCATCCTTGATGTCTAACTCTGAAATTGAACAGATGTCACCAGGGAGCTAGATCCTGGGAGACGTGAGAGGAAGGGCACATAGAAAGGGAACAAGGCTGAAAGGATGCATGAACTTCAGATTAACACCCAATCTGATATATGAGGGCTTCTAAAGCTTCCTTTGGGGCATTTGTTTGATTCTTGTTTATCTTTTACTCTCCCCTCCCTTTCTCTCCTTCACTCACCACCCCAATATTTTCTTTTCACCTTCTCCAGAGGGAGTTTACCTAAAGGGAATTGCCCACAGGAGGCAGAAGAGTAAAAGAAGAAATCAGAGGAGATAAGCTTGGGGTGTGTGTGTTAAAGGACAAATAGTTTATGAATGAGAAAAACATTGCAGGTGAGAGGAACAGCACACACTATAGCATGAGTACACAAAAGTATCTGTTGATGTGACCCAAATATAAAGTTTATATTGAATAAATTCTTTTGGGTCTAGAGCTTGGAGACCTTAATTTTTTTCCTGCTTAGATTTCCCTAGGTATTTTATAATTTTTTTTTTTTTTTTTTGCCTATGAGAGTGGAATATTTTCTACCCATTCTATTTTGGACTAGTGTGACTAAGGTACAGAAAGTCTACTTAAAAAATACTTGTCATGTACATTTATAACCACAGCAGAGTTTATTAATTTTGAAGTAGAATTTCTTGACTTTTGCAGATAAGCAATCATATTTGAAATAAATGAAAATACTTTTCAATATTTATAAAAATTATAGAGCCTCCTTGACATATTGCATTTGACAGATCATCTAAAACAATACTGATAATATGTTGAAGTCATGACCCATTTTGTTCCTACTTTTACTTAAAACAATTATAGCATTTCTTTGCCTAGAAAGAAATTTGTCACTATTTTTGGTACATGTATTTAAATGATTTCTAGTTTGGAATTTTTATTTGCAATTATTGCTTGATCTTATTTATTCCTTTAAAGTCATATGTTGATATGATTATATAGCTTTTCCTTTATTTGGTTGACATAATAAATTTTGTTGCTAGATATTTGGATATTGAATCATTTCCTCCCTCCTATAATAAATCCACACAGTCATACTGCATTATTCACTGCAGAAATTGGCATATTTGATGTATTTTCATATGTTATGAATGTTTTCTGAATACTTTTAGATCTTTTGGCATCTATATTGTTGTGAAATTGGTCATTTTTGGTATACTATGTTAGGGGTGAGCTATTGTGGCTTGTTAATGCAGAAATGTCTGTATTTTAGATGGTCTACATTAGTTGAAATGACAATAAGTTTATTTGTTGTTTAAAGATTAGATTATAGAATATTTTGCCTTTATACAATAATATAGATGCTGAAAATGTTTAAAAATAACAAATATATTTAATATGTAAATTTATGGCTAGTATTTACGTAACCTTTCTCATACAAAATCTTGCATAGTTTTACTTTTCTTTATAATAAGGTTTGTGGAGACTTCATATTATTTATCACTGGCTTTACCCAAAAAAGTTAGCATTGTATTTACCTTTTTTTTTTTTTTTTTTTTTTTGATGGTGGTGGTACTGGGAATCTACCCAGGACTCCTTGCACTGAGCTATATCCCCTGACCTTTTTATTATTATTATTATTTTTATTTAAGACCAGTCTTACTAAGCTGCCCAGGCAGACCACAAACTTGCTATCCTTTTGCCTCAGATTCCCAAGTGTTGGGTGTAGTTATCCTTTTTTAATTACTTTTTATTTTGATTTTCATTAATCTCAGCCAGTGTTTAATATATTGTCTCTGTTTTTCCTAGCAATATGTTTTAGCTATTAAACTAGTAAAAATGTGTCATGGTTAAGCAACTGTCAACTTGAGTAGGAATGGCCAGCTGATCTGAGTCAGCACAGACGTCAGAACGGTGCAAAGGGAGAACAGGAGGAAGGACTTCATCTGATCTTCCTTGGAAGAGCTTCATTGAGGCTGCTTTTCTTCGAAGGCGCTTTGGCTACCTTCTTTTGGGGGAAGCTTCAGTCTTGTCTTCATCTTGGACGCCGTCTCCTGGCTTCCAGGGCAGAACCCCTAGCCTTCTGGCTCACATCCTTCAGCCTCTCAGCACAGACACTTCCGCTTTTGGCACTGGCCCTTGGGCCTTTCTGGTGCAGATCCTTCAGTCTCCCGTTATGGCTCCTTTGCCCTCCAGATATGGACCTGCATGGGACACTGCCGTGGGCTCCAAGCCCTCAACTGGATTCTTTGGGTCTGCAGCATGTAGACAGACATCTTGCATGCTTCTACACCTGACTCTAGACTAATGCACAGTGGTAGTTCTTTCATTTTTAGAATAAATACATGAACCATTACTTTTAGTTTTTACTGTAAATTATTTTCTGGGCATACATTTTGCCTTTTTCCATGAGTTTGGGTTTGGAACAGGTTTATTTTAATTGATACATGGGTAATTTGGGGTATGTTTCTTAATTTCCATTTTTAAATCAAAGAGTATCCTTTAATTTTATTTCTTTTTACTGGTTTAGGATAATGTAAGTGGCCCCACAGGATTACTTTTCTGAATGTCAATGTTTTCTTTGTGATAAAATATGAAGGCGATTTTTGTAAGTACTCTGTCAATAGAAAAGTTTATATTCTCTATTTTGATGTAAAGTTGTTATTAATTGCATTACTACATCCTTCTATACACTTCCTGTTATCTATTTGATCTATTTTGTTTTGAAGGAGGTATATTAAGAATTCCCAAAATAACTATTTTCAGAAGGTTCTTCTTACATTTATAAATGTCTTTCTTTTATCTATTTAGTTACTATATTTTTGGTGCCTTAGGTTTTGGTTTTGTTTATTCTTGTTAACATTTAAAAATATCTGCTATTTCCCTCATGTTTCTTTCAGCCTCAATTTTACCTCATCTGTTTGCATTTCCTGGTTATTTTGCCCATCCTTTTGTTTTTTTTTTTTTTTTTTTTTGTATCACCAGGTTTTAAGGATGTATTGAGATTGTGATTTTAAGATGTATTATTTACTAATTTGTTGCCTTCACTCTCTTCTAGAGAATTGTCTGCAGGTAAAGGGATATATGGCTGATTAAGTCCCTAAATATTTCTAAATTTGCAAATATCATCTAGTCACCACACTAGTGACATTTTTATAAGCTGGGGACTGGATTATGGGGCACAGCCGTTTAGTCTGTGTCATCTGCATGTACCATACTACTTCTAGGCAGACGCCAGTCTGATTCCTTGTTCTTTTTAATTGTTGTTTTCTTCTGTAAACTTCCAAGACTTCATCCATGAAATTCAAGGATCTTACCAGGATATTCCCAGAGAGAATAAGTCTAGCCCTCCTACAGTAATACAAATAGAGGAACGGTGGACCAGAAAAAATGTGACTTGTCCAAGGTCTCACAGTGAATTAGTGGTTAAATTAGGACACTTTATGTCCAGTGTGGCCCTGACCTGGGATGTGGTCCCTGACACAGTGATAGATTCAGCAGTCCCTGTTTGAATACAGTAGAAATTGGTATATGTTCCAGGACGATCATACTCTTGGTGTCCTTTTCAACAGAAATGGGAGATTTTTTTTAGAGAAAGAGACTTTCCTGATTTCTGATCCTCTTCTCAATCCAGGTGGGCCTTGTTGAGAAGAATAGCAGCATAAAAGGCAGAAATAATCGTTATTAAATAATCGTAGCTAGGCGTCCTCCAAGAGCCTCATGCATTCATAACTGGAGTTTTGGAAGATGATTGGATTATTGGGGCTTTTAGCTGGCTTGCTGTTAGGAGGTGGGGTCTGGTCAGAGGAGGTGGGTCAGGGTGTGACCTGAAAGGCTGCATCGTCCTTCCTGGCTCTTCCCTTGTCCCTCTCTCTGCTTTCTTCTGCCATAAAGAGAGTAGCTTTCCCCCACCCATGCCCTTCACCCATGCTGCCTCTGCCTGGAGCCAGGCAACCAGGACTGAAACTTCTGAAATGTCACTTGAAATAAGTCTCTCTTCCTTTAATTTCAGGTGTCTTTTGTCCTAGTGTCAAGGAAAGTGAATGAGACAACAATTCAAAGGCTTTCTTGGGGAAGGTGCAATATGATCCTACAATGAAGTCATATCCATGCAGCAAAAGAGAAACTTGAAGAGCAGAAGGATTAGGTAATGTGTCCCAGATGCCATATTTAAGGAAGAGCCCAAGTATTGAGCCCAGGTTGTCAGTACCTGTTTTTGGGAGCCAGTCTTGGCCACACTTTTGGAGAAAATTGATCCACATTCCTGGGTTTATGGCTGAACAAGTAAGTTAGATACCTAGTGGGCCATGTTTAGGATTTCAAGGGCTGACTCTGTGTTCATGGAGACAGAGAAAGCTGTGATTCTTAACTCCTGTATTAGAAATGCACACTTGGCTTTGTATCTACAGAATATCCTAGACATAAGTCCCCGGGGAGAAACACCCAAGTATAAATTCCCTACAGTCTAGCTACTCAGAGTTTGCCAAGATTTACTTTGAAAATATGCTCCAATAGTTATCCAGAATCTTTTACTGATCTATATTCTGGGTGACCTTTCTAAAATTCAAATCAACTTGGTAATTTCCTTCTTAAAAAATTTCAGTGACTTGCCAGTGCATTTCAATCAGGTTTATGTTTTAGAAAAGCCAATCTGAAACTTTTGCTTTCAGCTAAGATGGCATAACAGGAACTGGAGCTTTGCCTTCCAACATAAGCAATTTAAAAACTGGCATGTTATAGGGAACTGCAGTTTTCAGACATTGGACAGCAGACAACACAAGCTGGTGATCCTTGAGTGAGCCCTATGACTGTCTCAGCTGGCAGCTAGAAGTGGGAACCACTTCCCCCTGGGTCCCCCTGAACTGAGGAGATAGCGAGCAGATAACTTAGGTAGACTGAGGGAGCTGTAGGAGGATAAAGGGGCAAGACTTCTGTAGTTATGAAAAGGTTCCTCTCAGCTGAGGGTAGTACAATTAGCACACCCAAGAATGAAACTATATAGCAATAAAAATGGCAGACAAA